AAATGTACATTTAGAGATAATGCGAATACAATAAATGTTATTGTGGTATTTTAAAATGAAGTATTTATTTCAGTGTGTACACTTGCATATCATCTAGGAGGAGTAAATTTTTTAATATTTCACAATTTTTGGCAGTTACACCATTTGACATTTTCAGTTGCATTCAGTCTTAATGTCTGTAAAAAATGGTGTAAATGTTATTTTTAATTACATAAAATCAACATGAATACAATCTGCACATTTTAAAATATCTGACGGATGCTTTAAAATTAACTTTGTAAAAGATTTTTAAATTTCCCATCTTGCCAAACCTGTTTTGTCACTGACCCAATGGTATAGCAGAAAATTTTGAGGGTTTTGAAACCTTGACTTTTCCACACTGCGGTATACCTTAACACGGTTATCGTCCCATGCCTAATTAGGTGAACTTTAAATTTAAGTGGATTGACCAAAAAAGAGGGTGGCGCTGTGGGTAGCGTGATCGCCTTACAGCAAGGTCACTGGTTCGAGTCCTGGCTGGGTCAGTTGACGTTTCTGTGTGGAGTTTGCATGTTCTCCCCGTGTTGGCGTGGGTTTCCTCCGGGTGCTTCGATTTCCCCCACAGTCTAAACACATGCGCTATAGGAGAAATGGATAAACTGAATGTGTATGTGTGTAAATGAGTGTGTGGGTGTTTCCCAGTGATGGGTTGCAGCTGGAAGGGCATCCACTGCGTAAAACGTATGCTGGGTAAGTTGGCGGTTCATTCCACTATCCCAACCCCTGATAAATAAAGGGACTAAGTCGAAAAGTAAATGAATGAATGAACATAAAATAATTAAGTTGTCCCAAAAAAAAAACTTACGAATTTTGTTGTTTCAGCTTATTTTAAATAAGTAGTTTGAACAGGCAGCAAAAGTAAATTTTTTTAGAGAAGTTGTATTAATTACGCACCTTTATTTTTGTTGGTGATACTGTCAAACCTCCTCTCTATTTTACCCCGGTATCCGGTATTACCGTGCATAAAAAAAATATATATATATATATATGATATAAGGTGACCTGAGGTTTGCGGTCACCTGTTTGTCTTGTTCGTATTAGAGATCTGCTTAGGACACACACACAGAGAGCGCGAGAGAGACGCACATCACCACACTCTCTCTTACACACACACACACACACACACACACACACACACACACACACACACACGGAGCGAGAGACACACAGCATCTCTCTCTCTCTCTCTCTCTCTCTCTCTCTCTCTCTCTCTCTCTCTCTCTCTCTCTCTCTCTCTCTCTCTCTCTCTCTCTGTGTGTGCGTGCGTGTGTTTCCGAATAAAGCGTGGGAGCGGTTGCCCGGTCTTACAATATCGCTTCCGAGCAAGCGAGCACGCACGCATCCATGTGGATGCGGTGTGTGTGTGTGTGTCTCTCTTTCTCTCTCTTTCTCTCTCATTCATACACACATAGAGAGAGAGAGAGAGCACAAAGCGAATAACAGACAGCATGCTCTCTTATTTACACACACACACACACACACACACACAAACACTGCAGGTGACTTGGTGCGTGACTCGAAATCTTACCTCACCTCTCTTTCCTCCACCCTGTCCCATCATGACAATCACGCATACTCGTTTGTAGGCATTAAATAAATTATATTTATTATTTAATACTTGTCTCCTACTTAAGTGAATTGTTTTTATGACGGTATAGCGGTATTAGAACTGATCCCGTTGCTATTTTTAGATCCCGCGAACATGCAAACTCAGAAATGCCAACTGACCCAGCTGAGGCTTGGCACACACACATAGCCTGTACTGTGCCACTGACACTGATTTAATAACTGACAAAGTGAAAATATAGGCTAGTGTCATTTCGAAATGACAGGAAAACACAAACCATGGTAAAAACAACACACGAAATAAAACACAAACGGCTCGCGATTAGAATGAACAGCAAATTAGCAGCAGAGGATCAATAACAGATTTTTATTGGTCATTTTTGTAAATTGCACGACTTTCATACCTGTTAAGTTTCATGCCAGTACTCTGGTTTGCTCTCTCTCTCTCTCTCTCTTTCTCTTTCTCTTTCTCTCTGTGTGTGTGTGTGTGTGTGTGTGTGTGTGTGTGTGTGTGTGTGTGTGTGTGTGTGTGTGTGTGTGTGTGTGTGTGTGTGTGTGTGTGTGTGTGTGTGTGTGTGTGTGTGTGTGTGTGTGTGTGTGTTAAAGAGCCGCTGAGCAAACAGCTGTCAGCACACACACACTGTATTTCTGACGGCAGACACGTGAAATAGGAGAACGTTTTTCTCGCATTTCTGACGCGCTTGAACCACATGTGACAGATTATAACGGCTTTAACAGACACATTTCTAAGTTGTGTGTCACAAAAACACTCTGTTATCCATTAAAAACGTTATTGAAGCCCATTTTCGGAGCGCAAATTACCAGTTGTACACGCTGTAAACGGAAGTTTTTAGCATTCTACCGGAAGACGCTGGTCGCTATGGCGCCCTCCATGCAGCAGCCATGAAAAATGTCTATATATAACAGGAAAACAAAACATCACAATGTCCTATAAACTAACTTTACTCTGACTTAAAAATGTGTCTTTAATGAACAGCTCTTTTCATATTGTCTAAACGTTTTTAAATTCAGTGTATTTATAAGCCTTTAAATTTTTGGTTTGATCAGCTACCATCATGGTACAGAAAAAGCCCAGTTGTCTGTAGTTAGTACAGCACTGAGTGCTGCAGGGAATAGTAGTGCTCAAATTAATTCATAGCATTTCTTGCAGTCTCCCAGTGATAACCCTTACATTATTGCTTGTATGGTTTAACCTAGTTGCTTAGAAATGAGCTCCCTCTGGGCTAATGGGATACGATTACAGCTTCTGAATAATATGATCAAAACACACACAGCCTTGTTGGAATTCAATATTGAGTTTAAGGTTGAATTCTGATGAGTTTTGAAGTCATTCATTTGTTTTATTATTTGTGTTTTTCGCCTGCTGATGGGCTTGGATGATGGGTGCATTGCTTGGGTGGTGCTTGAATGCAGGGCTATTTTTATATCCTCCATCTCTCCTGAGATCTCATTGTGTGTTAATAGTGAAGGTGCATTTCCCATAGCAGGTGTGTGTGTGTTCAGGAGAAGTCGGTAACAAGCATTTTTCACCCATGGTCACAACCTAGCAACTATTTTTAGGGGTGTCGTTATCAGTATTTGGTCATAATGAGTTACTAAAACACTTGATCAGCTTGTTTGAGACATCCTTAACTATTGTTGTTGCTTTGTTTTCAGATTTCTACACAGTTGGTCCAAAACCAATGATATAAATGTTTATTTAACATTTAGCTTGAGACGCAGACAGCGCTCTAGGCTAGTTTTCAGCTTTAGGCAAGCTTTCAACAGCAGGCGGCGCTCTAGGCTAGTTTTCAGCTTTAGGCAAGCTTTCAACAGCAGGCGGCGCTCTAGGCTAGTTTTCAGCTTTAGGCAAGCTTTCAACAGCAGGCGGCGCTCTAGGCTAGTTTTCAGCTTTAGGCAAGCTTTCAACAGCAGGCGGCGCTCTAGGCTAGTTTTCAGCTTTAGGCAAGCTTTCAACAGCAGGCGGCGCTCTAGGCTAGTTTTCAGCTTTAGGCAAGCTTTCAACAGCAGGCGGCGCTCTAGGCTAGTTTTCAGCTTTAGGCAAGCTTTCAACAGCAGGCGGCGCTCTAGGCTAGTTTTTAAACAGCAGACAGCATCATAGGCTAGTTTTTAAATGGCAAACGGTGCTCTAGGCTAGTTTTTATACAGCAGACAATGCTCAAGGATAGTTTTTAACAGCAGCCGGCACTCTAGGCTAGTTTTTAAACAGCAGACAGGATTATAGGCTAGTTTTTAAACGGCAGATGGCACTCTGGACTTTTTTTTAAACAGTAGACAATGCTCTATGCTAGTTTTTAACAGTAGATGGCGCTCTAGCCTAGTTTTTAAACAGCAGACGATGCTCTAGGCTAGTTTATAACAACAGACGGCGCTCTAGGCCAGTTTTTAACAGCAGACGATACTCTAGGCTAGTTTATAACCGCAGACGGCGCTCTAGGCTAGTTTTTAACAGCAGACGGCGCTCTAGGCTAGTTTATAACAGCAGACGACGCTCTACGCTAGTTTATAACAGCAGACGGAGCTCTTTGCTAGTTTATAACCGCAGACAGCGCTCTAGGCTAGTTTATAACAGCAAACGGCGCTCTAGGCTAGTTTTTAACAGCAGACGATGCTCTAGGCTAGTTTTTAACAGCAGAAGACGTTCTAGGCTAGTTTTTAACAGCAGATGTCGCTTAAGGCTAGTTTTTTTAACAGCAGATGGAGCTCTAGGTTAATTTTTAAATGTCAGACAGTGCTCTAGGTTAGCTTTCAAACAGCAGACGGTGCTCCACCCTAGTTTTTAAACATCAGATGTTGCTCTAGGCTAGTTTTTTTAAATAGCAGATGGTGCTTTAGACTAATTTTTAAGTAGCAGACGGCGCTATAGGCAAGTTTTTAAACAGCAGACAATGCTCTATGCTATTTTTTTAAACAGCAGACGGCGCTGTAGGTTAGTTTTTAAATAGCAGATTGTGCTCTGGCCTATTTTTTACCAGCAGATGGCGATCTAGGCTAGTTTTTACCAGCAGATGGTGATCTAGGCTAGTTTTTACCAGCAGATGGTGCTCTAGGCTAGATTTTAACAGCAGATGGCGCTCTAGGCTACTTTTTAAACAGCAAATAGCCCTCCAGGTTAGTTTTTTAAATAGCAGTTGGCACTCTAGGCAAGTTTTTTTTTCGTCAGATGTCAGCCATCTGCTGTAAAAAACAAAGATCAGAATTGATTCAAAAGAGAATCGAAATGCTTTCAGAAAATCTTAGAATCCATGCAGGATCATTTTTCACTTTATTGTCTCCGGCCTATTAAACTTTTGTTTTAGGTGACAATTATTTAATTATTACTCTGCAGACAGCCTACTAAATCTCGAAATCTGTTCTCCTTGTTTGTCTTTCAGCTCAGGTGTCTCGTAAGCTGACATTTCTGTATCTTGCCAATGATGTCATACAGAACAGCAAGAGGAAAGGACCCGAGTTCACACAAGACTTTGCCCCAGTCATTGTTGATGCTTTCAAACACGTCTCCAGGTATATTTAGTCTGTTTACTGGTCATTATACCAGTCATCAGGAATAATCTTAAAATGATCAAATATTAACATAAAAAATCGGCAGCACTTTAAAATAATAGTCCATCAGTTAATGCATTTACTAACATGAACAAATAACAAATAATTAGTGTTAGGTTTATTATAGTATTCATTCTATATTTTATAATTCCATATTTCCATTATTAATTATGGTATAAATAAATAAAGAAATGTAAAACTCTCTGTTTCTTCTGTCCCCTCAGCGGAGGAGACGAGAGCTGTAAGAAACATCTAGGTCGAGTTTTGTCCATCTGGCAGGAGAGAGCCGTCTATGAGAACGACATACTGGACAAACTTGCAGACGTCTTGCGTAAGTACAATAAAAACATAACATTCACAGTCTTCAAAGGATATTTGAGACGTGAAATAGTTATTTAGAAAGTCATTTGTTTTGATATAAAGTCCTTTACATGTGTAATGTTTCTTCATTATCTACAGAGGTGGAAAAGAAGGCCCAAAAAAGGCCTTATGAAGAGATTAAGGTGAACGTTGATGATTTCGCCTGCCAAAGCTCCCCCGCCGAACCTCCACAGGTGTGAAAATACTTCAGGATATTCAAACTATTCATTGTGCAAATATTTAATATGTTATACAAATCCATAAACATCAAATGCCCAATTCAAACATTAGTTTTTTAAGTTACTAAGCATTATGAAAGCTTTTTTGTGTGAGACTAACATTTCAAACGGATTTATTATAAATTTTAAGACTAGTTATTTTAAACAAATGTCGTATTGACATTCAAGATTAGCATGGTGTTTTGATTAGCATGGTTTTTTGCTTAAAGGTAAAAACCCCACTTATTGTTTGTCTGCATAATTCATCTTACTGTAAAACGCATTCTATTGGACTTTCCTGCTTTTAATGACTGCAGGAGGGGTTTTTAACCGGTTGTAGTCCCATGCTTAGTTCATATTTGTGATTATTTATTTATGTAGCACCGTGGTCCTGCGAGACAAACCATTTTGTTCCACTGTATGTCCATGCATGTAGTGAAAAAACAATGAAGCTTGACTTGACTTGACGAGTTGTTGTGTGTGTCAGACTGCAGATCTGATCCGGACGCTGCAGGAGCTGGAGAACGCAGCCTCGAGTGACGCCGCTCTCCGCAAGAGGATCTCCGCTCTTCCCCCAGAGGTGCAAGACACCTCGCTGTTGCACAAAGTTCAAGGTGAGAAACACATAGTCTGTCTATCTATCTATCTATCTATCTATCTATCTATCTATCTATCTATCTATCTATCTATCTATCTATCTGTCTGTCTGTCTGTCTGTCTGTCTGTCTGTCTGTCTGTCTGTCTGTCTGTCTGTCTGTCTGTCTGTCTGTCTGTCTTTATCTATCTATCTGTTTGTCTGTCTGTCTTCTTTATCTATCTATCTATCTATCTATCTATCTATCTATCTATCTATCTATCTATCTATCTATCTATCTATCTATCTATCTATCTATCTATCTATCTATCTATCTATCTATCTATCTATCTATCTATCTATCTATCTATCTGTCTATTTGTCTGTCTGTCTGTCTGTCTGTCTTCTTTATCTTTCTGTCTGTCTGTCTGTCTGTCTGTGTCTGTCGGTCGGTCTTCTTTATCTGTCTGTCTGTCTGTTTGTCTGTCTGTGTCTGTCTGTCTGTCTGTCTGTCTGTCTGTGTCTTGTCTGTCTTTGTCTTGTCTTGTCTGTCTGTCTGTCTGTTTGTGTGTCTGTCTATCTATCTACCTATATATATTCAAAACCTTTGAGACATATTATGACCCACTGATAATCATTTTAAATAATCGTGATTACAATTATGACAGCTTACAATTACAATTAAGCAGGCCCAGCTTCAACTGAACATAATTATTATTTTTTAAATCTAGACAGGCCTGTTTAAGTGTGTGTAAATGTAGATCAGTATATAATGCGGAGTATAACGTGAGCGTCTCCGCTTGTGTTTGTGTTTGTCAGATAAAGAGTCCGGAGAGCGTCTGTCTCGGCTGGTGGAGGAGGCCTGTATGCTGCTGGCGGATTATAGCGGACGGCTGGCGGCAGAAATCGATGACCGCAGGCAACTTACGCGCACGCTGGCCGTCTTTTTGCAGAGTCAGAGAGACGGTCTGGTCCAGAACGAGCAGAAACTAGAAGTGGGTATATTCAGTTGCTTTCTCTACTCAATACTGGTCAAAAGTCTGGGATTTTGATGGGTAACACTTTACGATAAGGTTTGTATTAGTTGTTGTTAATGCATTTACTAACATCAATAAACAATACATTTATTACAGTATTTGTTCATGTTAGTTAATAAAAATAGAGTGGTTTATTGTTAGTTCATGTTAACTCACGATGCATTTGTAAGTGCATTAGTAAATGTTGAACTATGGTTATTTAATTCTGTACAAGTATAGCTCATAATTAGTTCATGTTAGTAAATACATAAACTAATGAAACGTTATTGTAAAGTGTGACCCTTTTGGGTTATCTGTTATCAATGAGATCTAATTTGATGCCATGTAATGCCTGTAAATACATGGTTTATTTAAAAGGATCTTTAAGTTGTTAACATAAGTTAAATTGGCTACCGGCAGCTCTGCAACTCTCACATGGTCACCCACTGAAGTTAAGCAGGGCTGCGCCCGGTCTGTACCTGGATGGGAGACCACATGGGAAAGCTAGGTTGCTGTTAGTGAGGCCAGCAGGGGGCGCTCAACCTGTGATGTGTGTGAGTCCTAATGCCCCAGTTAAGTGAAGGGGACTCTGTACTGCACAGTGAACACCGTCTATCGGATGAGACGTTAAACCGAGGTCCTGACTCTCTGTGGTCCAATAGTCGTAGGATGTCCTTCGAAAAAGAGTGGAGGTATAACCCCGGCATCCTGGCCAAATTTGCCCACTGGCCTCCTTACCATCCCCATATCATAATTGACTTCATCACTCTTTCTCCTCTCCACAAATCAACTGGTGTGCGGTCTCGCGCAATATGGCTTCCGTTGCGTCATCCAGGTGGATGCTGCACAATGGTGGTGGATGCAGAGATTTCCCCCAAAAACTAGATTTATTTTTATGGTTATTAGGAGAGTGAGAAGCCTTTTCTGCTCATCAAGGCTGCTTTTTTTTGGTCCGAAAATGCAGAAAAACTTAAATTGTGAAATAACACAACAGTTTTCAATGCCCACAGTAATAACAGTAATAATAGAAATAATAATTTCTTCATGATCATCAGATCCTTATACTAGATTAAATTCTGAAGGATCGTGCGACCTGAATGCTGCAATAATGATGCTGAAATTTCCGCTATAAATCACAGGTGTAAATACAATTTTATCTATTGTATTTCGATTTTTATCTTAAATAAGAAGAGTTATTTAATAGTGCAGTTTAAACGTTTTTACTGTGTTTATTGCATAAATGCAGCATTTGTGAACAGAAAACGCTTCTTTAAAATGAAAATGTATAAATCTTACCGATCCCAAACTTTTGACCAGTAGTGTATGTTTATTATATTTATTTATTTAGGCTTCTCTAGGTCTTTTTTAACTACTGTGTAATTGAAACGTATTCATTTACCTGCATAATCGAAATGTATCAACTACAGTTGAAACCAGAAGTTAACATACACTAAAAAAGGAACATAACCATTTTTTTTTATGTCTGATGGTAAATCATACTAAGCGTTTACCTTTTTAGTTCTGTTAGAATTACCTAAATGATTTACATTTGCTAAATGCCAGAATAATGAGAGAATTTTGTATTAATGTTTAGACAGTTAAAAGTTTACACACATTTCCTTGGTATTTTTCTAGTTTTGCTTTTAAACTGTATAACTTTGGTCAAATATTTTGGGTCTCCTTCCACAAGCTTCTCACAATAGTTTGCAGGAATTTTGGCTCATTCCTCCTGACAGAATTGGTGTAACTGAGTCAGATTTGTAGTCTTGCTCGCACAAGCTTTTTTAACTCTGCCCACACATTTTCTATAGGATTGAGATCAGGGCTTTGTGATGGCCACTCCAAAACATTCACTCAGTTGTCCTTAAAGCACATTTGAACTAATTTGGCAGTGTGCTTAGGGTCTTGGTCTGTTTGGAAGAGCCATTTGTGGCCAAGTTGTAATGTCCTGGATGATGTCTTGAGATGTTGATCCAGTATTTCTCCATAATGTTCTTTCTTCATGATGCCATCTATGCTGTGAAGTGGACCAGTCCCTCCTGCAGCAAAACAGCCCCACAACATGATGCTGCCGCCCCCATACTGCACAGTTGGGATGGTGTTTCTAGGCTTGTAAGCTTTCCCCTTTGTCCTCCAAATGTAACACTGGTCATTATGGCCAAACAGTTCAATCTTAGCTCTTTCAGAGCACAGGACATGTGTCCAAACATGAGTCTTTTCCCCAGTGTAATTCAGCTAATTGTAATCTGGCTTTGTGGTTGATTCTGGCTTGTTGATTTTTCCATGTTGTCACACAAGGAAGCAGTGTGTTTGAGCTTTTCCTTCAATACTATTCTACAGTTGTGCCTCCAATGAACTCAAATGTTGTCAATTAGCCAATCAGAATCTTCAAAAACCTTGACATCATCATCTGAGCTTTTCCAGAGGCAGAATAATCTTATTGTGTGTAAACTTGACTTTCAAGAAGAGTTTTAACAGTTTCTCACACAATATCTCTCTCATTATTCTGATATTAAGCAGAACAGAAACACATGTAATAATCCTAACTTACCTAAAAAAGGAAAAGTTTAGTCACATTAACATCTGACTTTTTTTTAATGGTTATATGCCTTTTTTATAGTGTATACAATTGTCTGGTTTCAATTAATAAGTGTATGCAACATACTGATCAGCTGCATGTCATTGCTTAATGTTTGGGTTTTTGTTCTGCCTATAGAGGGCAGCAAATCTCCAATATTAAGTAATGTCAGCAAACGCAGCTCTGAATGTCTTGTTACTGAGCAGGTAAGTATGAACCTGTCTTCTTGTTTCTTTTTGAGCATTAACAACTTAATTTTCCAGCCTCTGCCAACAGGTAGTGAAGCAGGTTCCTGTGTTCCTCCTGATGTTGTCTTTTTACAGAATGAACAAAAATAAAAACACAAACATTTCAATCTTTTTGAGTGTGGATGTTTCTTTGCTTATGCACTGGCTTTCACAAATACATACCCGGTCCTGTTGTCAAATAATTAAGGTTTTCTGTAGCACTTTAGTACTTTAATACGGGAGTCAGGTTTAGCTTAATATTTTTTTTTAAGATGATTTAATTCAACCAAGAAATTTAAAGCAGCAAGAATTTCTGTTTAACCGAGAGCGGTCAGCTTAAAGTAATCATAAATAATCTTACAGCATTTATCAATCTAACAAGGTTAGTACGAATTAAATAATTACCAGATGTGTTTTTATAAATACATATTATAAAATGCTTGTTTTACACAATCTATCAAAGACTAGATAGTCTGAACACTAATAAAAGCACAATTCCTGCATGTTGTCCAACACAAATCTATTAAGTTAACGTAATTGTGTGGATTTACTTAAAACAATTAGGTTTTCTCCCCAGAAAAACTCAAGAATTGTGTTGATTCAGCTCATTTTAAATAAGTAGTTTTAAAAAGTAGCTTAAGTCATAGTTTGGAGTGAAAGTAAACTTCTTGAAGCTTTTATTTGTGCATTTATGTATTAGTTTTGCATGCAACTTGCCTTTTAATATCTTTTTTTGTTATAAAAGTAGTTTTTATCCTGTTAGTAGATCAGAGTCTTCATATAATAATGTCAATATTTCACATTTAAATGTCTAGTTAATATTGTAATACATTAACCACATACTTAAAACTAAATGAGTCTTACCTACAACATATGCATCTAATGTAGTGAGACAGACGTGTAAAACGCTTTTGATTAGAATTGATGTTTAAAATAAAGTTTGATGCATGCAAAATGTAATTTCAGATGCATTTGATTTTATATTCACACCCTGTTGCCACACATCTGTGTTTAGACCCCTTATGAAAGTCACTTTTGCATAATAGGTCCTCTTTTGAGACACTTGATAGAACAGAAAAACCTTTTTACACTGTTTAACTAATGTGTGTAGTTTAACCTTTCATTACTAATGTAAACTAGTGACCGTACTAGAGGTGTAAAAATATTTAAATAACATCTTTATGATGATGTATGTGGTTTAGAAACTAGCATACACTTATAAAGGCATTTATATTCACTAATATTGTCTAAAATGTAATAAAGTGTGTAGAGTTTGATGCATTATTGTGAAATTTATTTAACGGTTAAGTAATTGCCTCAAATAATGTATGAGTTAGTGTTTTCAGAGAGAAATAAGCCAATGTAGAAAACAACCCAGCAAAATATGCCGCACATTTTTATGCATATGTTTTGAAGGATTTTGAAGAGCTGCTTTATAACACTTAAAAAACGCTGGGTTGTTGTGACCCATTTTTGCTTTAAATCCAGCATTGGGTTATTGTTTTCAATTAAATTCATAGGATTTTTTTCTTCTTCTTCGAAGTAGCTTTTAAAAAGCTTTTTTGTATAGCCATTAATTTTAATACATTTATTTTTACATTTATTTAAACATTTGAAATTACAAAAAAAAAAAAAAAAAATGGTATAGGTGTACCATGTGATCATATACAGTAATATGATATATAGGATAGCCATTAAGAACATACTCGGGAAATACTGTCCTATACTTTATTTAAAGAATATATTTGCAAAATTATGTGATCATATACTAAAGTGTGTTTGAGTTTTTCTTTGTGTGAAAAACATATGCTGCACATTTTTTAATCATTAATTTTAAAGAATTTTTGTGATCTGCTTTATAACACACTCTAAATGCTGGGTTGTTGTAACCTATTTTTACTTCAAGTATGGATATTTGGTTATTTTTTTTCTATTGAATTTAAATAACACTTTTTTTTTTTCTTTGAAGCAGCTCTTAAAAAACCTTCGATATATAGTCTATTATTATTATTATTATTATACGTTTATTTAAAATTTTGCAATGACAAAATCTTTTTCTGAGTGTCTCATGTCATACAATAATATGATATAAGCCATTTAAAAATTCCCGGGAGATACTGTCCCATACTTTATTTAAAGAATATATTTGGAAAATTATGTGATCATATACTAAAGTGTGTTTGAAACATTATTGTAAAATATTTAATAGTTGAGTAAATGCTTCAAATATTATATGGGTTAGTATTTCCAGAGAGAAACATGCCAACGATGGGTTAAAACAACCCAGAATTTTTAGTGAAAAAATTATGCTGCACATTTATTAGTCATCAATTTGAAAGGATGTTTAAGATCTGCTTTATAACACACTCTGAAAATGCTGGGTTGTTGTAACCCATTTTAACTTCAAGCATGGACAAACCCAACATTGGGTTACTTTTTTAAATGGAATTTAAATCACTTTTTGTTTTCTTTGAAGCAGCTCTTTAAAAACCTTTGATATAGTCATTTAATATTAATATTATTATTATTATAATTATTGTTATTTTACATTTATTTAAACATTTGCAATGACAAAACCTTTCTATAAGTGTTTCATGTCATCATATAAAATAATATGATATGTAGTATCGCCATTAAATAAATTCTCAGTCTCATAATCTATTAGAAGAAGATAAATTTGTAAAAATGTGGTCATATACTAAAGTGTGTTTGATAAGTTTAGTGTAAAAGATTTAACAGTTGAGTAAATGCTTCAAATAATGTATTGGTTAGTATTTCCAGAGAGAAACATGCCAACGATGGGTTAAAACAGCCCAGAATTTTATGTGAAAAAATTATGCTGCACATTTATTAATCATGAATTTTGAAGGATTTTTAAGATCTGCTTTTTAACACACTCTAAAAATGCTTTATTTATTTATTTATTTATTTTGAAGCAGCTCGTCAAAAGCCTTTGGTTTACAGCCATTTTTATTTATTTATTTATACATTTATTTTAAGATTTGCATTGCCAAAACTGTGTTATAGGTGTTGAGTTTTATCGTAATACAATATATCCCCATTAAAACACTATCTGGCAATACTAACCCATACTTAATTTGAAGCATATATATTTGCAAACGTGTTTGATAAGATACTAAACTGTGTAGAGTTTGATACAATTATTGTAAAAGATTTAACTGTTGAGTAAATGCTTCAAATAACATATGGGTTAGTATTTCCAGAGAGAAACATGACAATGATGGGTTAAAACAACTCAGAATTTTTTGTGAAAAAGTATGCTGGACATTTTTTAATCATCAATTTTAAAGGATTTTTAAGATCTGCTTTATAACACTCTCTAAATGCTGCGTTGTTGTATCCTATTTTTACTTCAAGTATGGACAAACCCAACATTGGGTTATTTTTTTTTTTCAATTGAATTTGAATTATACTTTTTTTTTCTTTGAAGCAGTTTTTAAAAAGCCTTTGATATATAGTCATTTATTATTATTAATATTATTATTATTATTGTTATTATTATTTAACATTTATTTAAACATTTGAAATGACAAAACAGTGGTATAGGTTTCTCATGTCATCATGTTTAATAATATGATATATAGTATAGCCATTAAAAAATTCACGGGAAATACTGTCCCATACTTTATTTAAAGAATATATATTTGCAAAATTATGTGATCATATACTAAACTGTGTAGAGTTTGATACGTTTATTGTAAAATATTTAACAGTTGAGTAAATGCTTCAAATAATGTATGGGTTAGTATTTCCAGAGAGAAACATGCCAACTATGGGTTAAAACAAGCATTTTTAGTGAAAAAGTTATGCTGCTTATTTTTATAATAATCAATTTTAAAGGATTTTTTAGATGTGCTTTATAACACACTCTAAAAGCCTTTGATTTATAGCCATTTATTTATTTTTATTTATTTATTTTTACATTTATTTTAAGATTTGCATTGACAAAACAGTGGTATAGGTGTCTTATGTCATCATAATATATTCTAATACAATATATAGCCACTAAATAAACACATTCTCTGGCAAAACTTACCCATACTTTATTTGAAGGATATATATTTGCTAATTATTTTGATAATAAACTAAACTGTGTAGAGTTTGATACGTTTTTTGTAAAAGATTAATTAAATATTTACTGTAAAACATGCTGGGTTTCACACAATTGAATTGGGACAACATGAAGGAATTAATTTATTAGTTTTAACAAGTTTAAGTGGATTAAACATACATAAAACAATTAAGTTGTTCCTAAAATCATTAAGAATTGTGTTCTCAGCTTGTTTTAAATAAGAAGTATCAAGAAAACATCATTTTTTTGAGTGTTGAAGTATTTGTAGACCTCTTTTATTGTCATTGGTTTGATCAAATTTGTGTAAATAAATGCTTCAAGCTTATAAAAGTTGCTATTTATAATATTTCAAAGCATTTCTTTTTTCTAAATATATAAGCATTATGTGATTGCCATTGGTTTACATTTGCAATGCAATACTAACATCAAACTATATTCAGATTTGTTTAAAATTTTCAAATGTTACCTTTTAATCCCTTAAACATGCACAGTGAAATGCATCAGAAATTACAACTATATTTTAAGCATTGATACTCACAAAAATAAACTACAAGTCACAATACTTTAGATGCATATATTAGATGCACGCTATTCACATCGCTTCCATGGAGTGTTTCAAATTTTCAAGTTATTATAATGCATTGAATATATTTTGCACCCTGGTCACTGGTTTATGTTTGTAATGAAAGGTTAAACTGCTGACATTAGTTAAAAAGTTAAAGAATTTTCTGTTCTGTCAAGTGTTTAAAATATTTTTTAAAATGCCTTTTAAATCACCTTAACGTGCATGTGTGTAATTAAAGTAATGCATCTGAAATCACAACTGCATGAATTCATACAAAAATAAACAGAAACAGATTCAGTTATAAAGTTTACTTTTAAGTTTAAAAAAGTTTTTTTTTTCCTATGGAGTATATCAAGTTTCAAGTTACTATTTATAGTACTTGTACATGTAATTGTGTATGTGTACTACTACATGAAAAAAAAGAAGAGAAAAAAACATCTTGTTTTCAGAAGAAAAATTAAGTGAGTTTTTCCTTACTGGTGACTCTACTGACAGTTTAAAGAAACATTTTAAAAGTTTAAAATTTGTTTTCTGTTCTATCGAGTGTTCCAAAAATTCAATTGTCCAAATTCAAACACTTCAGAGCATTTTTCTGCTGATAATATTTTGCAGATGTTAACATGTTTTTTTTTTTGTTCTAATTCTTTTATTCCTTATACTTTTTTCCCTTTTTTTTAAACTCGTGTTTTAGGTTTAAATTTGAAACAAAAGGTTAAACTACTGGCAGTTAGAATAAATCGATTAAAAAGTTTGAAAATTGTTTTCTGTTCCATTGAGTGTTCCAAAAATTCAAAAGTTCACAAACAAAAGGGTAAACTGCTGACAGTTGATCAGTTAAAAAATTCCATTGAGAATTCAAAAGTTCAAATTGAAACACTTTAAAGCATTTTTCTGCTGCTAATATTTTTCAGTTATGTTGTTTGCATGTTTTTTAAAACAAACAGTTTTTTTGCTCTCTTTTTTACGTGTTTTTCAGGTTTACTTTTAAAAAGAAAGGTTACACTACTGACAGTTAAAATAAATCAGTTAAAAAGTTTAAAAATTGTTTTCTGTTTGTTCTATGGAGAGTTTCAAAAATTCAGAAGTTCACAAACAAAAGTTAAACTGCTGACAGTTAAAATAAATCAGCTCAAATTTGAAAAATCATTTTCTGTTCCATCAACTGTTCCAACAATTCTAAAGTTCAAATTCAAACACTTCAAAGCATTTTCGTCTTCTAATTATCTTCTAATAAAGTCTTTTTTAACGCGTTTCAGAAATATAAGCATAAACTGGCTGATATTTCAGTATTTGAAATGAAAGGTTAAACTACTGACAGTTAAAATAAATCGATTATAAAGGCTCAAATTAGTTTCCTGTTCCTTCGAGTGTTCCAAAAATGCAAAATGTCACTTCAAAACTTTTTTTTTTTTTGCTAATATAACTTGTCACTTATTATGTTCTTAGCATGTTTTTATGACACTATTTCCTCATTTATTTATTTATTTATTCATTTATTTTGCAAGGTGATTGTCACTGGTTTATATTTAAAATGCTAGGTTTAACTACAGACAGTTAAAAAGGTCAGTTAAAAAAAAACATCTGTTAAAATTTTCAAAATCATTTTCTTTCATCGAGTGTTCCAAAAATTCAAAAGTTCAAATTCAAATACTTCAAAGCATTTTTCTTCTGCTATTATAATTTGGCCCTTACTATGTTCTTCAGAATTATTCCGAAATTATATTTCAGGAAAATAAGCATAACCTGGCTAATATTTCAGTATATGCACTTCCATGTTTGTCACTGTTTGAAATGAAAGGTTAAACTGCTCACAGTTAAAATAAATCACTTCAAAAGTTCCACCGAGTGTTCCAAAAATTCAAAAGTTCAAATTCAAACACTTCAAATCATTTTACTTTCGTAAAATGTTTTAATGACACTAATTCCTCATTTATTTTTATTTAATTTGTTTGCATGTGTGTGTTTCAGGAGTACAAGCGTAAGCTGGCGCGGGTGTCGCAGGTACGGAAGGAGCTTCGATCTCGCCTCAACGGGCTGCCAGATCTGTCCCGGCTCCCGAACGTCACAGGTGGACACATGCGTCTGCCCTCGTCCGGTGATCTGTACAGCCCGTCTGATTGAGCAGGACTCTTGATCATCTTCACACTAACACTCTTTAATCTCATCCGGCCACTATAATATTAGTGGATGCGTCCGATATGCAGTCCGTGGCTGCTCGAGTGTTGCTGAGATAAAAACACCTCAGTTTGTCGTCCCTCAAATATCGCTCAAATGCATTGGGATCAGTGCAGACATTTAAGTGATTTGTTTCCTTTTAAAGCTTTGTTTTGGAAGCTTCCAGACAGCATACATTAAAATAAACACGCCATATTTAAATGCACACTGCAAAAGATGCATTTCTTAGAGTTTTTCTAGTCTAAGTATCTAAATATTCTTAAATCAAGAAGCTTTTTCTTTCAAAGCAAAACGTATTTTGTTGTTTTAAGACATACTATAACAAAATAAAGTGAGTTTTTCCATTAAAACAAGCTAAATAATCATTTTTTAAACATTTATTTACCTGCTTTTTGCTTTTACAAAAACTACAACAAAAACAAAACAATGCAATGCAATACAATAACAATGCATATAAAACACAATACCTAAAAATACTACCTTATGACAGAACACAGAGGGACAAATGCACAGACAAGCAAAGTATAATTTGGCTGATCAAGTAATGCATAAAAAAAGTAATTATAAAGTAACATTGTTCTTATATTGACAAAAACAAAGCATTTTTCTGTCATAATAGTTTGGACACATTATTAAAAACATTATAGATTATGAATAGTACATATCAATTCCACTCGATCTTTATTAAATATGTTATTGACAGAGATCACTAGCTTAGTTTGCAAGCTAAATAATCTTATGTCAAAAGGAAAAGCAAGATTATTTATCACATTGACAGAGACAGGGATACTCACTTAATTTTGATGTATTATTTCTGAAAACAGGACAATATTCTCTACTTGTCTAGTAAATGCATCTTGATTTAATATTTTTTTTTAGATATTTGGACTAGAAACAAGACACAAAATCTGAAAAGCGTGTTTTGCAGTGTACAAAAAACATTTTCTTCGAGTTCTTCTGTTTGTTTCTAGTCCAAAACAGATAAATATTCTTAAATCAAGATGCATTTTCTTAATAAATATAGATTATTGTCTTGTTTTTAGAAATAATATGCCAATGTTAAGTGAGTTTTCCCTAAAACAAGCTAAATAATATAATGTGAGAGGGAAAAACAAGATTATTTTGCTTATCACATTGACAGAGACAGGGAAACTCACTTAATTTTGATGTATTATTTGTGAAAACAGGACAATATTCTCTACTTGTCTAGTAAATGCATCTTGATTTAAATTTTTTTTTTTAGATATTTGGACTAGAAACAAGACACAAAATCTGAAAAGCGTGTTTTGCAGTGTACAAAAAACATTTTCTTCGTGTTCTTCTGTTTGTTTCTAGTCCAAAACAGATAAATATTCTTAAATCAAGATGCATTTTCTTAATAAATATAGATTATTGTCTTGTTTTTAGAAATAATATGCCAATGTTAAGTGAGTTTTCCCTAAAACAAGCTAAATAATATAATGTGAGAGGGAAAAACAAGATTATTTTGCTTATCACATTGACAGAGACAGGGAAACTCACTTAATTTTGATGTATTATTTGTGAAAACAGGACAATATTCTCTACTTGTCTAGTAAATGCATCTTGATTTAAATTTTTTTTTTTAGATATTTGGACTAGAAACAAGACACAAAATCTGAAAAGCGTGTTTTGCAGTGTACAAAAAACATTTTCTTCGTGTTCTTCTGTTTGTTTCTAGTCCAAAACAGATAAATATTCTTAAATCAAGATGCATTTTCTTAATAAATATAGATTATTGTCTTATATATAAAATAATATGCCAATGTTAAGTGAGTTTTCCCTAAAACAAGCTAAATAATATAATGTGAGAGGGAAAAACAAGATTATTTTGTCTACCCTATTGGCAGAGACAGGCAAAATCCCTTTATTTTGACGTATTATTTCTGAAAACGAGACAATATGTTTTGCTTGTCTAGAAAATGATTCTTGATTTAAGAATTTTAGACTAGAAACATGACAAAACAAGTAAAATAAGTTTTTTTTTTTGCAGTGCAATTAAAAAAAATATCTTACTTACAGTTTTTGTGTTCGTTTCTGGTCCAAATATCTAAAATATTCTTAAATCAAGAAGCATTTTTTTAATAAGTATAATATATAGTTATGTTTTCAAAAATAATATGTCAAAATTAAGTGAGTTTTCCTTAAAACAAGCAAAATAATCTGCATGTGAGGTAAGTAAAATATATGAACTGAAACTGAAAACAGGATTATTTTGCTTCCCCCATTGGCAGATTATTTAGCTTGTTGTAAGGAAAACTCACTTAATTTTGACTCATTATTTCTGAAAACAAAACCACATTTTTATCTTGTCTATAAAATGTTTCTTGGTTTCAGAATCTTTAGATATTTGGACTAGAAATACGCTGACAAGCATCTTTTGCAGCCCACCTGTGATACTACATTACACTGAGGTTTGGTTGGATAATACCCATCTGTAGCTTCTCTTGATGGTAGATCTCCACACATGTGATGTTGTTTTTGTATTTTTTGCAGTGATTATCAGTTTCACCGCAGTATCCTATAAAAGCAGCTGCAGCATTTTAGTGCGGCGACCTTAACGAGTTCATAAAGAGATGTCGGTCACTTTACAATAAAGGTACATTAGTTAGTGTATTTACTGACATGAAGAAACTATGAATAATATATTTAATAAAAGTATTTATTAATTTTGATAACATTTAATGAAAATACGCTGCTTTTCTTAATTAAAAAGGTCTTGTTTCTAGTTAAAATATATAAAAACTCTTACATCAAGAAGCACTTTCTAGACAAGTATAAAATATTGTGTTTTCAGAAAAAAAAAACAAGTGATAATTGAGTTTTTCCTTAAAACACACAAAATAATAAACATTAAAATCTATTTATTATTAAATGTGTGTGTGTGCATGTGTATATATATATATATATATATATATATATATATATATATATATATATATATATGTATGTTTTAAATCTGAGTCTATTTTGCTTGTTGTAATAAGAAATATTTAATATTTGTTTTAAACTAAAAACAATATTATTTTTCTTGTTTTTAAGGAAATTAACCTATTAAATTTGACGTATTATTTCTTAAAACACAACGATAGTTTTTGCTTGTCCACAAAATGCTTCTTGATTTAAGAATTTTTAGTTATTTGGACTAGAAACAAGACAAAAACAGTGCACAGTGGCTCAGTATCACTGTGCATTATTTAATGTTAATTATTAAGCACACATTTGGATTTTAATGCATTAGGTAATGTTGATTTGTGGTTATTAAATGCTGTAAGTAATGCTGTAGTATTGATCATTCTTAGTTCATGTTAGTAAATATACTAGCTAACATTAATGAACCTTTATTGTAAAGTGTGACTGAACTGTATTGTCCTTTCTGGGTTTTTACTTTCCAAAATGCTGAGTTTACCTCAAAATATTCAGATTTGAATCTCTTTAGGTTTATGATCAAAAAACTAGATGCCTCAAAACATTCATCAAACAGGTTTTGTCTTGTTTTTAGTTCAAATATCTAAACTTTCTGAAATCAACAAGCATTTTCCAGACAAGCAGAAATAATTGTGTTTAAAATAATATTAATATTTAAATGAGTTTTCCTCTTAAAATAAAACACATACAAATAATAGCAAAATAATTTAAAATATATTTTTCTTACCCCACTGACATATTATTATTATTAAATTGTTATAATTATTAAAATACATTAAATATACATTATTATTATTATTATGCATTTTTGATTAAAATAAGCAAAAAAAAACTAATCAGATTTTGATAAATGTTTTAACAATAAATATTTAAAAAGTATTGTGTAATATGTTTAATATTGTCACAGTCTCCAGCGATCTAGCCCATGCAGATTTCTGGAGAACTACAAATCTACCAGCAAAAGAACTACAAGATCCAATCATGCACCACTCATACACCTGGCCTAGATCCCCAAGTTTGAATCTTGTAGTCCATTTAATGGCAGATTTGTAGTTCTGTGCAATTATCTGTGTTTAACAGCGATCTGCACAGGCTGGTGATCGTGACAAATATACATTATAATGATTTAATAATAATCTGCCAGTGGGGGTAAGCATAATAAAGTTTTTTAGATCATTTAGCTTGTTTTAAGGACAAACTTATTTTTTCTGACATCTTTATTGTCTAGCAAAAGTTTCTTGATTTACGCTTTATTTTTAGTTATATGCACGATAGATACAAGACAAAACCTCACAATAAGAAAACCTATTTTTCTCAGTCTTCATCTCGTCCTCTTGGTCTGTAGACGATGCTTTAAGGTGACTCTGGGTTTGCAGCATTTGTGTTTTTGTGCGTTTTACTGTGATGAAAAGAAAATACTTGTTACGACCGTTTTCTTTGTAGGATCTAAAGAGACGCTCTTTGCCTGTGAAACCACACCTTTTAACTTATTTAGTTGCAATGCAAGTGTACATTTTAACATCAGCCTTTGTAAATATAATGTGTCTGAGCCAAATAAAGAGCTGAAGGCAAAGAATGAAAACAAATCCACTTATTTTCTTATATTAATATCAGAGGTCAATCGTGCATGTCGCTGTTATAAACTGTTTATTTTCTTAGTATTTGAGTCAGAGAGTAAATGTTTTCGATTTTATATACATAGAAAGCCAAATAAATGCTTAAGTTAAGTGTTGAAACGTGTTTCAAACAACTTTTGTGAAAATAAAATGTCAAAATATGGGTGAAATAATCTGTCGTCATTCTGCAAAACAGATATATATATATATATATATGTGAAACTACATAAATATTCTGACCTGTTTATTAAGTGTTCATCTCAGATTGGTTTGATGATTAAAACGTCCTGCTGATAAATGGGTTAAACTTAGTGGTTTGAAGACGAAATTAGAATCTTAAAATAAATAATGAAAAACATTTAAGGGCCAATCACATGGCAGC